AGATCCATAACGATCTATTGCTATTATTAAAAAAAATTGGAAAGTTTTATTTATACAATATCTGCCTTATTTATTATTATACGATCTATTGTTATTAGAAGAAAAAATTTTTGAAATATTCTATTATATCTATAACGATTTATTAGCATTATTATAAAAAAAAAAATTGGAAAATTTTATTTATACAATATTGTCTTACGTATTATACCTATTATTAGAAAAAAAAAATTAAAAAAAAATTTCTGAAAGTTCTATAGCGATCTATTGGCATTATTGAAAAAAAAAATTGGAAAATTTTATTGTACAATATCATCTTACGTATTATACCTATTATTAGAAAAAAAAAATTTAAAAAAAAAATTTCTGAAAGATCTATAGCGATCTATTGGTATTATTAAAAAAATAAATCAGAAAATTTTATTAGGAAAAAAATTTAGAAAAATGTCTGAAAGATTTCGTTATATCTATTGACATTATTAGAAAATTTTATTTATATCTGCCTTATATTATACGATCTATTGTTATTAGAAAAAAAATTTAGGTAAAATTTTCGAAATATTTTATTATATCTATAACGATCTATTGGCATAAACATTTTTATATTAAAATACTTAAACACTTAAATTTTTATATATTATTATTGATAAAAAACGTTGCGAAACGTTTTTTACTAAGTATAAACGTTTTTTTTAAAGTGTTTCAATATAAAAAAACGTTTCGCAACATTTTCTTATATTATTATTGATAAAAAACGTTGCAAAACGTTTTTTTCTAAGTGTTTTAATATATAAAAAACATTTTGCAAATATTTTTTATATCATTATTGATGAAAAGCGTTGTACAAAATATTGCTTGAGTTATCCTATAAACTAATAATTAGAAACTAATAATTTATATATTATTGGCTTCATTTTTGCTTAGATGAATCTAATGGTGATATAAGAATGATAATATCACAAAAATTGAATCCTCATTGGCTAAGACGAGCAATGTGATATATCACGTGACAGATAATATGTAACGACTCGTGTAGAAATTCAATGATCATCCAGGGTAATGTTTGCATCCAGGGTAAATTTTCAAAATCCCGGGTGATCACCCTGGATGCATCCAGGGTAACTACCCGGGATCTATCCAGGGTCAATCCTGGATGCATCCAGGGTGATCACCCGGGATGTATCCAGGGTCATCCTGGATTTTTGAACAGTACGGCGTTTGTTAATCCAGGGTAGATCCTGGATACATCCCGGGTAGCTACCCTGGATGCATCCAGGGTGGCCACCCGGGATTTTTGATCAGTATGGCGCTTCATAATCAGGTAATCATTGCAGTCACATGCATATTGGCGTCTTTTGTACAACAGTACCACAATATTAACTTTGATTGTCATTACACAATCGAAGTGAAATTTTACATTTCAAGTTTAGATAATATTCATTCTCGCTCTCTCATATTTTTTATAATTTTATAATTTTTCATAAATTGATATAACATATTCCTTACGTAATAACATATTTCTCAAATAAGTTCATTAAAATGGATGAAAATAAACTCAGTGATGACGTAATTGAACAAATAAAAGATTTTAAACATAATAATTTATCAAAAGAGCAAGAATCATTAATTGATAAACTGATATTAAATGAAGAATTAAAAACTTATTATAAAGAGTATGGTTTATGTAACGTATGTAGCCAGCTTAAAAGGAATCGTAAATTATGTAATTATTGCCTTTTACAAAATTTTAAAAATTGTACCAGTGGAAATTATGAAGTTGATAAATTAATTCAAAAAGCACAATTAAAAGCTAAAGAATTTTCCGAAATTTTTGAATGGATTGAATATGATAGATTTGAAAATGTTGAATATTTGGCGAAAGGAGGATTTGGAACTGTTTTTAAAGCAATTTGGAAAGATGGTCCTATATGGAATTATTATTATAATAAATGGCAAAGACTTAAAGAAACAAAAGTTGCTTTAAAATGTTTACATAATTCACAAGACATCACAAAAGAATTTTTAAAAGAGGTAAGATAATTTTATTATTAATAGTTTTTATAATTATTAAAACTTATTATAATTTTCTTTTTTTTAATATTGAATCGCATACTTTAGCACGAAATTCTTTTTGGATAATTCAATGTTTTGGTATCTCTAAAGATCCTGAAACGAACAATTTTATGATGGTAATGGAATTAAAAGAAGGTGGTTTAAGACAACATTTAAATAACAATTTCATTTCACTGGATTGGAGGCAAAAGTTACGTAGTTTACAAGGTATTGCATATGGTCTTAAAGATATTCATAATAATGGATTAATTCATCGTGATTTTCATTGTGGAAATATATTAAGTAATTTTGATGAAAAAGCTTTTATTACCGATTTGGGATTATGTCAACCAGCAAATGTAGAGACTTCTCATGATAGTGATAAAAAGATATTTGGAGTATTACCTTATGTGGCTCCTGAAGTTCTAAAAGGAAAAGAATATACTCAACAAAGTGATACTTATGGATTTGGAATTATTGCGTATGAAATTTGTACAGGGTATCCTCCTTATCATGATATAGCTCATGATGATTTCTTAGCCATGAAAATTTGTCAAGGATTAAGACCAACATCTAATTATAAAATTCCTCAGCTAATTTTTGATATAATTAATCGATGTTGGAATGCAGACCCTTTAAAACGACCTAAAGCAGATGAATTACATGAGTTAATATGGGATTTATATTCACATAGCATTAAATATTCTGAAATCACTAAACAAATTGATGAAGCAAATAAAATTAACTATAAGTTGTCGTCTTTAACAGTTCAAACAACATCATCATCTACTAGTACACTCTCATATACAACACACCCTCAAGCAATTTACACAAGTAGACTTTTAGATTTTAAAAATCTTCCAAAACCAAAAAATGATGATGATAATAATGATAATTCATTTGAAATGGAATTTTCAGGTAAATTTGGATAGATTTAAATTGCATTAGTGAATTATATATCTTTAATAAAATAATTATTTTATCATATTGTATAGATTCTGTAAAAATGGATTTTACCAAACTCAATTTCAATTCATAAGGTAATATGTACGATTTTGTAATTGGATGTTTATAACTTTCTTTTTGATTTACTAAACTAATACAGTAATTAAAACATAATTCTTATTTTAAATAGGTGAAAAACCAAAAAAAGCCAAAAAGCTAAGAGTGGGAGTTGAAAAGTTAGTATTTCTATGTTGTGCAATTCTATCCTTTGTCGTGAATTATTCAATTAACGTGCTATATGTGAAGTTAGAATTCATTGGTTCGCTCATTTTCCACAGACATGGTCTCGTCTTTTACAGAAGATGAAGTTAACTTCATTAAACAAAAGTTCCAAGGTATAGGACGCCATGTCCCTTTTCTTTTTATCCACTTTACTTTTAATTTATGAATATTGGGTTAAACAAGAGTTATAGTTTTTTTAGTTATATAGGTTATTAAAAATACATTTTTATATTTATTAAAACGTAAATGGCTATAATAAATATTAATTCGAAAAATAAATAATCTTATTAAACATAAAATGTCGTTATACATACGTATATATATTTTCTGGTACCATAGAATTATTTCTGATTTATGCCATTAATTACTGTAACTTTTTAGGATTGCAGATTGCAATCATTAAACATTAATCACGTTATTAAGTTAATTTGTTGGTACTATTCGACTATTCGTCCAATTTTGAAATATAAAATTGATTATAGAAAGTTAATTGATGAATTTAATTATATTTTAAAAATTTTGATATAAATTCAAGAATCTTTAGCCAACCAAACATATTATTGCATATAGTAATTATTAGCAAATATATTGTTGGACAGCAATTTCAAAGGAAAATTTACATCAAACACTAAAGAAATTCAGGTTTAGACTTTTAGTACTATTTAGTAATATTTTATAACTTGATTATGAGTAATAAATAAATTAATTTATTATAATTATATACAGAAGATAGTAGAGATATATGGTTTTATTTTTGTACTTTATTTATGGAAATACTTGCTGTTAAACAATAAATATTGTACTGTTATATTACGTAAGGTGTTAAATTTATCAATGAAATAATTCTCCAACGCACGAACATGTGATATAGTATTAACAATCATTCTATTGATAAAAGTGTTCAATTATTTAGTTAATAACCCCATATTTTTCAACTTCTATATTTAGATAATTATTCATTACATTTCTGAAACCCTATAAAAAAATTCTGGAAAAAGCTCCGATAAATGATCATTTTCTAGTTTTTATTCCGAAGAAACTCAGACACGTGATCATTTTTCTGAAAAATTTTTTTTATAGGGAAAAATAAATAAAGTAACATAATGCTTCTTTTAATAATTTGCAATAATATTTTAATTTTGGTCCCTCTTAGTAACAATTTTAATTTGTACTATAATGAACTAACTTTTTTTTAATTCTCCTTGAGATTGTTTAAATTATACATTCTTAGGAAACTAAATACTGTTTCTATTTGGTGTCCATAAAAATTGTAAAAATTTTTTATCTAGATTTTTTTTGCGTAATAATTCTTTAACTATCTGGCAAAACACAATCCTCTGTAAACATTATTTATTTCGATAAGCAAGTAGTAAAGGGATAAAGTAAAATAAATTAGATTTAAATATTTTAATTTGAAGTCTTATATTTGAAATGCAGATATGTTTCATCAACTGATTCTTGAAAAATACAACGAATTACTAATATCTTAATTATATTTGTAGTTTCTCGTTCGACCGAAAAAAAAGTTTAAAATTAAATGAAACATTTAAATCAGAAGTTTGCATAAACAACTTTATAAGGATTTGAAAGTTTCTGATAAATTTACAATTTAGACTATATGAGCTGGGACATTTTCTTATTGGAAAAGGTACAGAAAATGATATATTCATATGTGCACATGATTTTTTTAATGTTAATGGTAGCATAATCATAACTATGTAATTGTATTTACTAAATATGGTCGCGTAATACTGTTCTTCCCTAAAATATATCATTGTAGTTACATACAGTACATTGGCAGTATTTTGAAGTGGTATATTCAACAATTGCAACATACATCTTTATTGCTCGTAAATAACATATGGCTAAACTTATTACAATTCTATTGGCCTTATATAGTATACTTAAACTTTGAAAAGACGTGCATTATGTTAAATGAAATTGGTTTAACCCAGTCTTATCCCAATGGTTTTCACCATGTAACAGGTTTTGATTTTATCTATTTTAATCCAATTTAACATAAATCGGATGAATTGAAATTAATTAGTAATTTAACAAATTAAAATATTCAACATATAAAATCTACAATACCTTTAGAATCATTGTTAATCTATTCTCATTAATTCTATATGATATAAAAAAATAATTATATTAATAATATGTTCAATAAGATAAATTAAATTAAATTTATTTACTGTACGTACCAAACGAATTATCATCAGTTTTTTTAAGTTTTGAAAGATTTTTAAAACTTAAAAGCCTACTTGTGTAACTTGCTTGAGGATGTGTTGTATACGAGAGAGTACTGGTTGATAATAAAGGTGATTTAACTGTAGATGATGATGATTTGCTGTTAATTTCATCTGCCTCTTTAATTTGCTTATTAATTACAGAATCTTCGTTATAATCATTATACATCTTCCGAAATAACTCTCGCAATTCAACTACATTAGGTCGTTTTAAAGAGTCTTCATCCCAACATTGATTAATTATGTCAAAAATTAGATTAGGGATTTTATAGTTAGATTCTGGTCTCAATCCTTCACAAATTTTTAAAGCTAGGAATTCGTCATGAGGCACATTATGATAAGGAGGAAATCCTGTACAAATTTCATATGCAACAATTCCAAATGCATAAATATCGCTTACTTGAGTGTATACTCCTCCTCTTAAAACTTCAGGTGCTACATATGGCAATACTCCAAAAGTATTATCTTCTTGAGAAATCTTCATATTTGCTGGTTGACATAATCCCACATCAGTAATAAAAGCTTTATCATTAAAATCACTTAATATATTTCCACAATGAAAATCATGATGAATAAATCCATTACTATGAATATCTTCAAGACCAAATGAAATAACTTGTAACATATATAATTTTTTCTTCCAATCTAATGAATTAAAATCTTTATCTAAATGTTGTCTTAAACTACCTTTCTTTAATTCCATTACTATCATAAAGTTATTTGTTATTGGATCCTTAGTAATACCATAACACCGAATTATCCGACCAGATTTATTAGCTGCTAAAATAAGCAACAATTCAATCTAAAGGAATATTATATTTAATTAAATATTATAATAGATAGTAATAATATAAAGAAATGGCTTAAAAAATATCTTACTTCACGTAAAAATTCCGTTGTAATGTTTTGTGAGTTATGTAAACATTTCAAAGCAACCTCTTTATGCATTAATCTATGCCATTGATTTTTTTCAGAATCCCAACTACCAATAAATCCATCTTCCCAAATTGCTTTAAAAACAGTTCCAAATCCTCCTTCGGCTAGATATTTAACATTTATAAAACTTTTATGTTCAATCCATTCCAAAATTTCTTCAAATTTTCTAGCTTTTAATTGTGTATTTTGAGTAAAATTATCAACGTCATGATTTCCACTTGTCCAATTTTTGAAATTTTGATGAAACCGTTTAAAATTACACGACTTACAATAAAAATGACCAATATTAGGTTGTTTACATTCATTACATAAACCATACTCTTTATAAAGTTCTTTTAATTCTTCATTTAATATCAGTTTATCAATTAACAATTCTTGTTCTTCAATCAAAAAACGATGATTAAAATCTTTTATTTGTTCAATTACATCATCACTAAGTTTAATTTCATCCATTTAAAACTCAGTATTTATTGAATAAGGAGTATGTTATTGTATCGTACAATATGTAAAATTACAAAGAAAAAAAGAAAAAAATAGGGATAACATCGTAACGACGTAACGTTCAGTTATTTATTCCGGGGAAATGATGAATATTTCTCCGATGTACAATGATTTAAGATCGCCAACAAATTATCAAAAAGTAGTTAGATGATTTGTTAATTTCGATTTGGTTAAAACTGCGCCTTGTCGATTAAATACCGAATTTATAATTTTTTTTTAATTTTCGTAATACTAAGTATAATAGAAGTATAATAGCAGTCCTTCACCGAAAACAGCAACTTCACACTAAATATTGTTATTTTTATTTATTTAACTGGAGTATTTGAACTACATAGTTCTTCCCAGTATTTTAGATTGCAAAGTTTGACGTTATTTTGAAAGGTAACTAAGTTTTATTATTTATATCGGGTATAATGTATAATATTAGCAATAATTACCAATTCTTAGATATTTTTTATATATAGCTATTATAACTATAGATAGATGCATTAGGTTAAAAGCAATTTTTGAATTGTTGGTTAAAACGAGATTTGTTTCTTCTTTCAAAATTAAAGAATCATTTGAAGTTGAATTACACTAAGGCTTTGATTTTTTTTTAAAAAAAATCGTTATAATTATATAAATTTGTAATATTTCAATTTTCTGTAGTTTGATTTGAATAATTTTTTATTTAAAAATAGTATGGTGAAATTTTTTAATTATTATAAAGTTTGTAAATGACAATAATAAATTTTTTTTTAATAATTTACACTAGTTGTATCCCGTTGCTTCGCACCGTGATCAATTATTTTAAATTAATAGTATTTATTATGTGTATTAAAAAAGATTTTGAAAATAAGTTGTAATATAAATAAAGGAAATAATGATTTATATTAAAAATTAGATGTTTTATAACATTAATGGATGGTTTATTGTCTATTATCTGTTTATAATTAAAAATTTACAATGTTAATATTAATGGAAATAAATTTTTAATATATGGATTGTATTTGTGAAGCATATTTTGTAAATACAATAAAATGTTTTCATTTAAATCTTGTATAATATTGTGGTGATTCTTATTTCATGCTCAATATCATAAATATATAATTGCAAAAAGAAATTTTCACACAAATTTATTAGTCGGGAAATGATAATACTGAAAAAACCATCTCAATAAACAAAAAAAGTTCTCAAAAGTTCTCACTAAATCAAAAAAATTCTCACTAAAAAAAAATTTTCACGCAAATGATTATAGTCTTGACCCAAACGAAAAAAGAATAAACAATATTTTTTAGGTTAAAAAAAAAATTCCAAAAATTTTGATAAATTTCGATTAAAAAAAATCCCCTAAAAAAAATCCAATAAAAATAAAACAAAAAAAAAAAAAAAAAAAAAATTATTATTATAGAGACGGTAACTTTGTTAGTATTAATCCAATTAAAATTTTAATTAACCCGGAAATGTATTAATTATGACATGATAAATACGCACACTTTTCAATGTTACACAAGTATTACTTATCTCCTGGCTAATTAGGAATAAGTAAAATTTTACTATTCCAATTAGCCAGGAGATAATTGATTTGTCCCCTGCCATTTACACAATAATAAGTGTTTTATAGTATATCGCGAGTATAATATAGTATATTTTATTGTTGAATCCTATTTTTCCTTCGCATGGTTTTTTTTTCATTTTAAAAGATTTTAAAAAAATAATTAAATTTTAAAAAGCTTCGGAACTATTACTATTCCACTTGAAAAATAATATTGTGGTTACAAATAAATTAAAAGTAAGTTTTTCTCATTTGGAAAATGCAAATCTTTCCGAATTACTCAAATTTTCAAATCAGTTTTATTATAGTATAATCAATAGTTAATTTTTACCGCAAAATTTCCTAGAAACGGATAAATAAATACATATAAAATTTGCTACCCAGTAGGTATAACTACATTTGCATAATCGTGTAAATGGTGCATAAATTCGATTATAAATTAATTTCTTTTCACGCAATTACACAATTACGCAATTAACACAAATTTATTTAATGTCAAGGATTGAGGCTGAATATTTTATGAACTATGGAATGAATTGCAAGCTATCATCTTTTATCATTGTAACATTTATAATAAAAAATTCTTAATGGCATTTTACATAATGTTTAGTCAAAATAAAATTAAAAAATTAATATTATGAAATTAAAAGAAAATTTATCATTATCAGCAAATTTATAAAAATTACAAATTGGAGTGTCTAAAATTATATATTAATCCATAAAATCAATATCATTATTCTTTAAGAGTGCAAGTTTATGCTTTAAATTTATTCCAAGGTAAAAATTCAAGTAAGTACTCTGCAATCCATTCAGATAAAGATACTCCCGGACCAACCAAAGCTAAAGCTGAAGTTGGTGTAAAGTTACTGACCGGTATTAATATTATTGTGACTACACTAAATAAACCTGATGGTATTAATATATATATATATTGCATAAATAATAAATTTTTTTATTAAAACCCATCTTCCATTATAAGTCCATTATTCCATAATAATTTATTCAATGAACACACTAAGATATGAATTCACTTCATCGTCGGATTTGTCACTTGCTAACGAATTAATAATGAGGATAATGACACCTATGATGCAAAATAGATTAATGATAGCACCCTATTAAAAAAAATTGAGAAACGAAAAATCTGTAGGTTATTTAAGTGAGAAATCTCTGTTATGAATATTAAATAAAAACAAATCATAAACAAACAAAGACAAATATACCCTTTTTTTTGTGATGCTTTTGTCTGTCATCTTGAATCGCCTCAAGGAAAGCCACTTTTTCTCTATAGGAACCATGATTATTGCAATAGAAATGCGTTTCTGTGGATAAGACTTTTGTAAATCTTCTGGAATAACTGGAGAAGTAACTTCAGTTTCTGAAGTTGCGCCAGATATATTTGTATTTTTAGGTTTAATAGCTGTAGAGGTAATTTATATTATTAGTAGGCTTTAATAAAGTGAAAATTTTTAACTTAACGTTAAATATTCTCTAGGCCTCACTTTCTGTCATATTGAAATATTCGCCTGAGGTTAATGTTAAGAAGGCACTTAATTTACAGCAGCAGTGATGGGAAAAATTGATAGATTATATATAAATACAATGATTGCATTTTTACTATTGATTTCCTTTTTAGTAAATATTACAATCATGTCAACATGACCATTGTACTTGTATTAGTTACCCATTACCGCATATTGATTGGTATATGTTCCACAGACATTTTTAAATCAAATCTTAATAAACTCATAAAATTATGATTATAGGCGTTTTTTTGCCTGCTTTGCAAGTTTACTTAGAGAAATAAAGTTGGTTTTTGTAATAAAAGTTATAAAAGTTGACTTCACCGCTTTTTTTTGTAAAAGTACATCACATACTCTAAGTAATATAATCGGCGTAACCATTTTCAGATTCCCGTCACAATCGAATAATTTTGGCGAATATTATTTCAAATGATTCAGATTTGAGTTAATAAAATAATTATGAAATCAAATTTTTTTAATTTATTTATGTAAACAAAAAAAAATTTTTTTACAACTGGTTTTTATTTAGATCACGTGCGTGATAATATTTATGCAAGTATTATATATAATTTCTCTTAAAGCTTAATTATAATGATAACGAAATTTTAATAAATAAAAAATATGATCAAATTTAATAATAAATTGGCAAAAAATCATCGTAATCGGTAAAAAAAAGTGCATATGAAATGTCTATAACGTTATCTAATTTTAATATGCAAAATTTCATCTTAGAATTATTATTTCATCATTCCATTCCCAGTTTGAAATCATTTCACGACATAACCTAAGAAAATTAATAAAATTCAAATACTTTATTTAATAACTTGATAGAAAATTGTTACAATTCGATTGAATTGTTATAATTCAAAAAATTAGTATATTAAGTTTGCGCTTTTTTGAGATTTTTCTTAAAAAGGTTTTCTAATTTCCATTTCGCAGTCCCTTCCATTGCTGAACCATTCCATTTCAAAAAAATTGTTATGTCTAATAAATAATTATCTTCTTCGTTGTCATTTTCATGATCAACCAAATTGAATTTGTACGAATTTCAGACCATTTTTAGTTTCTTCTTTTTCATCAAAATCATTACAATAAACTTAGATAGTTAGTAATTTATTTACTGTTAATTTTAGATAAATTAATATGATCAAATTTATTTATAAAAAACATAATTTTTAAACTTATTACAGTGCTAAACTTCGATTTTTTAGATATGAATAATTGAGCTTTACTATTCCATCAAATATCCCAGAATAACATTAAAAATTATCCTCAGGTTTATATCTAATGTTATTTTTTTATATACTAAATATTTTTATTTAAATTAAAATGTGTTTTAATTATTTTCATCTATAATAAAAAAATAGTTACACAATTAAAATTTAGTAGATTAAAAAAATCACATGCAAAAGTAATTACCTTTAGAATTAATATCAAGTTTAGTAAAATCCACACTTAAGGAAACTGTAAAATAGAAAGATAATTATTACTCTAAATAGATTAAATAATTATTTTGAATTAAAATTACCTGAATATTCTAAATCATCATTATTAGCATTTTTTGGTTGTGGAAGATTTTTAAAATCCAAAAGCCTACTTGTGTAAACTGCTTGAGGATGTGTTACATATGAGAGCATACTTGTAGATGATAATGGCAATTGAACTGGAAAAGATGCCTTTTTATTAATTTCATCTGCCTCTTTAACTTGCCTATAAATTACAGAATCCACTTTATTGTCATCAATATCGTTATATAACTTTTCTATTGACTCTCGCAACTCAACTGCATTAGGTCGTTTTAAAGGGTCTGCATCCCAACATTGATTAATTATATCAACAATTAATTGAGGAATTTTATAATTAGATTTTGGTCTTAACCCTTGACAAATTTTCATTGCTAAGAATTCATCATGAGGTATATCATAATAAGGAGGCAATCCTGTACAAAATTCATATGCAATAATTCCAAATCCATAAATATCACTTTTTTGAGTATATTCATTTCCTCTTAAAACTTCTGGAGCTACATAAGGTAACACTCCATATATTTTTTTATTACTATTTTGAGAGGATTTGACATTTGCTGGTTGACATAATCCCAAATCAGTAATAGAAGTATATATATCAGAATCAGAACCACTTAATATATTCCCACAATGAAAATCATGATGAATTAATCCCTCATTATGAATTTCTTTAAGACCATATGCAATACCTTGTAAAGCAAACAGCTTTTTCTTCCAATCTAGTGAAATGAAATTGTTATTCAAATGTTGTCTTAAACTACCTTCCTTTAATTCCATAATCATAATAAAATTTTCTGTTTTTGGGTCTTTAGTGATGCCAAAACATTGAATTAACCAACTACAATCGGTACGTACTAAAATATGTGATTCAACCTTAAAATGAAAATTATAGTTAGTTCAGCATTTATAAAGGCTAATAATACTAAAATATATAAGAAAATATCTTACTTCATTTAAAAATTCTGCTGTAATATCTTGTGAATTATGTAAACATTTTAAAGCAACTTTTGTTTCACCTTCTCTTTCCAATTGACCGCTTCTATTAATCTTCCAAGGACCATCTTTCCAAACTGCTTTAAAAACAGTTCCAAATCCCCCCTTTGCTAAATATTCAACATCTTCAAATTTATCATATTCAATCCACTCTATGATTTTATTATCACTACTAGCTTTTAATTGTGCTTTTTGAATAAATTCATCAATGTCATGATTTCCACTTGTCCAATTTTTGAAATTTTGTTGAAAATAATTAGAAATACATGGCCGGCACCATTCATAATGAGTATTAGGCTGCTTACAATTTCCACATAAACCATATTTCTTATAACGTTCTTTTAATTCTTTGTCTGTTATTAGTTTATCAATTAACGATTCATGTTCTTCAGTTGAATACTTATAGTAAAAATCTTTTATTTGTTCAATTACATCATCACTTAGTTTAATTTCATCCATTTTAATAAATAATTTATTAAACAAAAAATATGTTATTAATTCGTATGTAAAAAATACTAAAAATAATAAAGGAAAAGAAAAAAATTGAAAAAAAAGTGGTGAAACGTTATTTTATGTTAAATGATTTCAAGATCGGCAACAAAATTGTGAAAATAGACTAGTTATCTGATCGGCAATTAAATTTATTCAATTTTGGCAAATGCGATTTTTTATTTATATTCTCCATAATAGGTAAGGTTAAAATAAGAAAAATATGAAATTAAATATCAACGTGAATTTAGGCTAATTTTTACGAATATCAATTTATTACTAGGAAAGAGAGAAATTGGAAATTTAGGAAAAAATTCATTAAATTTTTATTAATTGATATCATATTAACATATCTGAAAATTATTTGTAAAAGAACTTTGTATGGTAATCCTTGTCCATTCACATGGCCTAAAACCCTAAATTATTGATCATTGATAGAGGGAAAGAGTATATGGGTAAAGAATTATTGACTTAACATGCCATGAAAGTACAGTATGCTAACTCTAAACGTAGCCAATAGAAGATGGGTGCGTGACATTTTTAGCAAAGCTAGTTGGTAGTATCTCGCAAGGTGCTGATAAAGAAAAAATTACAAGGTTGATTATTGAAAGTAAGTGCCAAAATAAAGCGAATATAACATCATAGAAAAGTTAACATTATTTGTTGAACGAACATCAGTGACATCTCACAATAGTCACATATCATTGTGTCATTAGTGACAAGTAAAATTCGTCATAATTGGTCGTAATTCTGGTTCGCATTATTAAGACAATTCTGACTAAAATTTTAATTTAAGTCTAACTTTAGCTGAAATTACAAATGATAAGAAGAATAATTCATTACAATATCTGAAACTGACCAAATGTCAAAGTTTAAGAAAATGTAGGATAATACCAAAAGAAAAAAAAATATGATTACTGTATTACGACGAAAAGTTACTGTATATCACGTTGTGATATAACATTCATACAGTAGTGATGATGACATCAAATGTGTCAACCAGAATTACTACACTAATTTGGGCCAGTACTGTAAAGCCGACAAATTCGTAAAGTTAAGTGGGTTTAAATTTTTTGAAAACTTTTTATCATATAAGGTACTAAAATTCACAATTTTTTTATTTGCATTTAAAAATAAAAAATAAAAAAATAAAAAAAAAAAAATCGGTTGGACCGAATTTTTATTGCATAAGAAAAACAACAAAAATTTAAATACAATCATGTTAAAATAATTTCAGAAAATTTTTCTTTTTTTTTTTACATATAGCTATAACATTATTACTAAAGCTCATAATTTTGTTTTTACAGAAGAGAACATTTTTTTTATTATCATTTTTTAATTATAATATTTGTTATTACATAATTAATAATTGTTATAAATAATGGACCTTTTTTTTTAAAAAAAAAGGTGAAGTTTCTCGTTCACCATTTTATATTGTAGTTTCCTCTATACACCCTTTAATTTTTGAGAGTTTTACCATATTTTTGCGTAATCATTATCACCCACTTGTCTTTGGGCTATTTTATAATATTTTTACCTTCTTCTACGCGTCGAAAAATTCTTCCTGACAATGCTCTGTACACAAATGAGAAATTATAATACACACGATATTGTGACGTTCCTAGTCATTTTATTATGTCACACAATCAACATGCTTATGTCATCCATCAAAAAGAATTTTCCAAATACGATAGTACTTTTAAACCTAACAAATCAGTTACGATTTTTTATAGTCACCAAGAAAATGCTAACGACAAATCCTTTTCACACGAGCGAACTTTTTAATCGATAACGTTCAAATCCTAATATATATAATTCAATCGACTTGGCATAGAATATGATGTTAAATACCAAGCGAACAGTCAAAGTCATGTTCTTACGAAAGGCAGTTGATGTATATACAGGAAAAAATTCTGCAACCTTAGGTATATCTCCAACTACAAACAAAGCACAAAATAGCATGGCAAACGTAACAATAAAGACAAGATTCCCCTACCTTTATCTACACAAGATAACCCAATATCTACTTCTACTTATGTTCCAATGACAGACAGTGATGCCGAATCCAATACAACACCAAAATTGAACAAATTTCTCCAATTTCAGAAACGTGTATGTTTATGACAGACGCGCATTATAGCTAAACACCAAGCAGAGTAGCTGTGGAAAAACTAGCAGTAGACCAATATGCCAAAGCAGAACACGAAAGATGACTTGCATTAAAAGTCTTAGCTATTACAATAATAGAACTTTGCCAAACACTAAACCAAATCAGAAAGGGTGATTAGAACAAGAAATTGCCAAATTTTCTTACAAATACTTAGACTCCATAGTAGATTATCAATTAGATATTATTAACGGTTCTGATACCTCAGATGACACGAAAGAACTGGAAAAATGACCTAACAAACGAAATACCAAGACCAACACGGGTCTTAACTCACATCGTTCTCTTCATTGAGAAAAATGACCGTGTCAGTCACCATCTTCTCCACATGACTCCAAGGTGGCTGGACCTAGTCTTAAGGGCTTTTTTTACACTTTTAGGCGAGTTAATTTACCCCTTTTATGGTAGATATATAGCTACATCTATTTAATCCAAACAATTTAGATATTATTTAGACTAGGTTTACCGCCCACTTTTTCTAACCTTTTCTTTTTAGATAGTTTTTTTTATATTTGCTAATCCCAGGTTCTTATTGGCTATCCCTTATCGGTCAGGATAAGGGCTGCGTGAGCTTTTATAGGGTATAAGTGAGGATCCGTCCTTGGAAAAGATGGGCGAAGAGTTTCAATTCGTGTTATTATTCTTATGAATGTATAGGACTTTTTATTGTTTACTCTCCTGCTTTTACATAAAATAAATAAATAAACAAATACTTAATTATAATGATAATGAAATTTTTATAAATAAAAAATATGGTCGAATTTAATAATAAATTGCAAAAAATTGTCATCATCGGTAAAAAAAAGTGCAATTATTCTCACATGAGATGTCTATGGCATTTAATTTAATTTTAATATGCAAAATTTCATCATTCCATTCCCAGTTTGAAATTATTTCACGAAAAAATCTAAGAAATTAAGAAAATTCAATTACTTTATTTAATAACTTGATAGAAAATTGTTACACTTTGATTGAATTGCTATCATTCAAAAAATTAGTGTATTAAGTTTGCGCTTTGAGATTTTCCTTAAAAAAGGTATTCTAATTTCTATTTCGCAGCCCTTCCATTGTTGATCCCTTTCGGTTGCAAAAAAATTGTTATTTATATTATCTTCCTTGTTGTCATTTTCATGATCAACCAAATTGATGCAATTTGTACAATTCTCCTTTTTCATCAGAATCATTACAGTAACCTTAGATTGTTAGTAATTTATTTACTGTTAATTTTAGATAAATTAATATGATCAAATTTATTAATAAAAAACATAATTTTTAAACTTATTACAGTGCTAATCTTCAATTTTTTAGATATGAATAATTGAGCTTTATTATCTGTTATATATATTTCCATCAAATGTCCCAGAATAACATTAAAATTATCCTCAAGTTTAGAATAAAATTATATCTGGTGTTATTTTTTTATACACTAAATATTTTTATTTAAATTAAAATGTGTTTTAATTATTTTCTTCTAAAAAAAAAAATAGTTTACCAATTAAAATTTAATAGATTAAAAAATCACATGCAAAATTAATTATTACCTTTAAAATTAATATCAAGTTTAATAAAATCCATTCTTAAGGAATCTGTAAAATAGAAAGATAATTATTACTCTAAATAGATTAAAATAATTATTTTGAATTAAAATTACCTGAATATTCTAAATCATGATTATCAGCATTTTTTGGTTCTGGAAGATTTTTAAAATCTAAAAGTCTACTTGTATAAACTGCTTGAGGATGTGTTATATATGAGAGTGTACTTGTAGATGATAATGGCAATTGAACTGGTAAAGATGTCTTTTTATTAACTTCATCTGCCTCTTTAACTTGCCCATGAATTACAGAATCCACTTTTTTGTGATGAATATCATTATATAAATTATCTATTGACTCACGTAATTCATATGCATTAGGTCGTTTTAAAGGGTCTGCATCCCAACATTGATTAATTATATCAACAATTAATTGAGGAATTTTATAATTAGAATTTGGCCTCAACCCTTGACAAATTTTCATTGCTAAGAATTCATCATGAGGTATATCATAATAAGGAGGCAATCCTGTACAAAATTCATATGCAATAATACCAAATCCATAAATATCACTTTTTTGAGTATATTCTTTTCCTCTTAAAACTTCTGGAGCTACATAAGGTAACACTCCATATATTTTCTTATTACTATTTTGAGTATTTTGAGAGGATTTGACATTTGTTGGTTGACATAATCCCAAATCAGTAATACAAGTATATCCATCAGTATCAGAACCGCTTAATATATTCCCACAATGAAAATCATGATGAATTAATCCTTTATTATGAATCTTACTAAGACCATATGCAATACCATGTAAATCATACAACTTTTCTTCCCAATCTAGTGAAATGAAATTGTTATTCAAATATTGTCTTAAACTACCTTTTTTTAATTGCATAATCATAATAAAATTTTCTGTTTTTGGGTCTTTAGTGATGCCAAAACATCGAATTAAAAATTCACGATTGCCACGTACTAAAATATGTGATTCAACCTTAAATGAAAATTATAGTTAATTAAATATTAATAAAGGCTAATAATATTAAAATATATTAAAAAATATCTTACTTCTTTTAAAAATTCTGCTGTAATATCTTGTGAATTATGTAAACATTTTAAAGCAACTTTTGTTTCACCTTCTCTTTTCCATTGATTATTGTCATAATCCCAACTCGAAATAGGACCATCTTTCCAAACTGCTTTAAAAACAGTTCCAAATCCCCCCTTCGCTAAATATTCAACATCTTCAAATTTATCATATTCAATCCATTCTATGATTTTATACTTACTATTACATTTTAATTGTGCTTTTTTAATAAATTCATCAACGTCATGATTTCCACTTGTCCAATTTTTGAAATTTTGTTGAAAATATTGTGATTCACATGACTGACAATTATTATAACCAGTATTAGGCTGCTTACAATTTCCACATAAACCATATTTTTTATAACGTTCTTTTAATTCTTTGTCTGTTATTAGTTTATCAATTAACGATTCATGTTCTTCAGTTGAATACTTATAGTAAAAATCTTTTATTTGTTCAATTACATCATCACTTAGTTTAATTTCATCCATTTTAATAAATAATTTATTAAACAAAAAATATGTTATTAATTCGTATGTAAAAAATACTAAAAATAATAAAGGAAAAGAAAAAAATTGAAAAAAAAGTGGTGAAACGTTATTTTATGTTAAATGATTTCAAGATCGGCAACAAAATTGTGAAAATAGACTAGTTATCTGATCGGCAATTAAATTTATTCAATTTTGGCAAATGCGATTTTTTATTTATATTCTCCATAATAGGTAAGGTTAAAATAAGAAAAATATGAAATTAAATATCAACGTGAATTTAGGCTAATTTTTACGAATATCAATTTATTACTAGGAAAGAGAGAAATTGGAAATTTAGGAAAAAATTCATTAAATTTTTATTAATTAATATATCTGAAAATAATTATTTATAATGGTAATCCTTGTCCACTCACATGGCTTAAATTATTGATCATTGATAAAGGGAAAGAGTATATGGGTAAAGAATTATTGACTTAACCATGCCATGAAAGTACGGTATGCTAACTCTAAACGTGGCCAATAGAAGATGGGTGTGTGACATTTTTAGCAAAGCTAGTTGGTGGTATCTCACAAGGCGCTGATAAAAGAAAAAATTACAAGGTAGATATTGAAAGTAAGTGCCAAAATGAAGCGAATATAACGTAGAAAAGTTAACAACATTATTTGTTGAACGAACATTAGTGACATCTCACAATTGTCACATGTAATTGTGTCATTAGTGACAAGTAAAATTCGTCATAATTGGTCGTAATTCTGGTGATTCTGGTTCGCATTATTAAGACAGTTCTGACTAAAACTTTAAATTAAGTCTAACTTTAGCTGAAATTACAAATAATAAGAAGAATCTCTAATATTACGTACAGTACATACAATATCTGAAATTGACCAAATGTCAGATGTCAAGTTTAAGAAAATGTAGGATAAGACCAAAAGAAAAAAAATCATGATTATTACGACGAAAGTTACTGTATATCACGTTGTGATATAACATTCATAGTGATAGTGACATCAATGTGTCAACCGGAATTACTACACTAATTTGGGCCAGTACTGTGTAAAGCCGACAAATTCGTAAAGTTTAGTGGGTTTGAAAATAATATATCTTATAAAGATCAAATTCAATTTTTTTTGTAAATTTTTTGAAAACTTTTTATCATATAAGGTACTAAAATACACAATTTTTTTTTATTTGCATTTAAAAATTAAAAATTAAAAAATAAAAAAAAAAAAAATTGGTTGGACCAAATTTTTATTGCATAAGAAAAACAACAAAAATTTAAATACAATCGTGTTAAAATAATTTCAGAAAATTTTTCTTTTTTTTTTTACATATAGCTATAACATTATTACTAAAGCTCATAATTTTGTTTTTACAGAAGAGAACATTTTTTTTATTATCATTTTTTAATTATAATATTTGTTATTACATAATTAATAATTGTTATAAATAATGGACCTTTTTTTTTAAAAAAAAAGGTGAAGTTTCTCGTTCACCATTTTATATTGTAGTTTCCTCTATACACCCTTTAATTTTTGAGAGTTTTACCATATTTTTGCGTAATCATNCTTAAATTCAAAAAAAAAAAAAAATCGTATGACGAATCCATGATTACGTATACCTCAAAAGAATGTAAGAGAAAAAAAGTTACTTACGTAAAAAAAAAATGGAACCTTACTATTATGGTATTTTCATAGACATCGAAAACACCAATCATAATCTGTGCAATAAACAAAAAATTTTATTTATTTTAAAAGAAAAAATAATAGATTTTATTATTACTATATCAATCAGCGTTACACCGTTACACGTGCATAATGATGCACAGTTGGTTCTACTTGTGGCCTGTGCTTATCATTACCAAAATATTTTGAATTTCCATTTTATAATAAAAATTTAATAATATTTTTCTTTGAACTATAATTTGTTAATATTTTGATATATTAAATATGTTTATATAAAAAAAGAATTATTTTTTTTAGTATCTCCGAGCTAGGATGGAGAGAATGAATGATATGGTCAGATGAAAATTTAACATACGAAATAGTTGAGCGTGTGAATGTGTGATGACGGTACCCGCATTTTTGTCAAACGATTGATCAAAATGAGCGCCTATAAATAAGGTTATTATCTAATATATGTTACCTAGTGTATGTGACAACACCGGAAATCGGGGAATAAACTTCCGATATATATTTGCATATATATTCGGTACGAGCGCTAATTACGTCAAAAGGGAAAATCTTTAAGGAAATGGTATGAAAGGGAATGTTTATTCATAAGTTAAATTAAGGCACAGATAAGGGAAAGGGACCTATAAAAAGGTAAATGTCCACCATCATCATATCAATGGTAAATGTCCCGCACCATTTTTTTTTTTTTAATATATACATATAAAAAATCTAGATGATTTTTTTTCTTTGTTTACTTTAAAATAAAATTGATAGTCAAAACAATTTTAAAAAGTATATAAATAAATAAGTCTTTCCTTAACTATATATATATTTTATATACTTTTATTCGGACATTGATTCTTGTCGCAGCTGCGCAGTAATCACATACGCCAAGACGGTTTGAAAACAATATGAAAAGTGAATCGATTTTTGAGGTATAGTTTTAGTTCCACAAAAATAAATATTTGTTTTTTTTCTCATCCTTTATTATTAAATCTTTGGAAATTGATGGAGAGGTAAATTAAAATTAATTACAAGTTTTAAAATGGTTAAATAAAAATAAAAAGATGAAAATATGAGTATATTAAGAGTACGAACCTGTATCACAGCATCATCAGAAAATAGGTATATAAGGGAGAAAATAAACCCTATTCTTCCTAACCCCATTAAAAAAAACTTACATAATTTTTTTTTTAATGAAAAAATGCACCTTTCAACTATTTCAACTAATATCCAATTGGCATTACGCTCAATAGATGATCTCGATAAATTGAAAGAGCTACCCCAAGAAATAGAAGTACTTGAGTTAGTAAGAAGAAAAAGAGTAATAACAGGAAAAGATGTAATAGGAATTAATGTCGAAAAAGAAATAAAAATAGAGCAATTGTCTTGCTTAATAAATGTGATTTGGGATACACATTTAAGTACTCAAGAAAGAAATTCCTTCGACAAACTTGCTAATAATATGATGAACAAATTTAATAATGAAGAAACACTTTTCCTAGTTGCGCGAATAAATGTACCTCAAGAAATGAAATTACCTCCTGGCATACCAGGTGAATTTTATAAAGGATATACAAACTTTGGCAACGACGACAACGACGATGATCTCAACGTTAATCTCGAACGCCTTATTTTTACATCCGTATTTTCAGAACCATCAGATTTTCAATGGCCTTAAAAGCAAGATTATTTCAACTTCTTTTCATTTTTTCTTGGGCCTTCTCACTAAAAATTTGTTCGTCTATAAGTATTACGTCATTAAAAAAATATTTTTTTTTTTTTTTTTTTATTATTATTAAGATTAAAAGTTTAAACATTCAAACCTTACTTAGTACTTTCCATTTTCCATTACATATAGAATCAATGTACGGCATATGTAATACAGTAATAGTATTATACCTGTCTCTTATACACATCTAGATGTGTATAAGAGACAGATGTAATACAGTAATAGTATTATACAATATATATCCAACCTTAGACTAGGAACAACTACATTTTTTTCTTTTTACATTTCTTCAATTTATTTCCTATTTTGTTCTTTTTATTTTTCTGTTTGTTCTTTTTGTTTTTCTATTTTTTTTTTGTTAAAATTTTCAATGTAAATATTATTTTTTTATTACATAACAATAAAAAAA